CTAAAATTAAACTCGTCAAACATTGAATTATTATTTATAAACTAGTAACTAGTAAACTAACTTATTATGTCTTACTGATTTATTACAGAGTATTTTAAATATTATAGCGTTAATAGATTCATTTTTTTATTGGTTTGCTTGTTTATATAATTATATGTATTGTTATTACATACCTGTTTCAAAATTAATATTCACAGTTTCCCCTACCCTCAGGGGGGTGTTAAGCAATTAGCACTACGGGTGTGGCGAACCCGGGGCCCCGAGCTGTGGACTGAACTTACTTTAGTTAGTTGGTTCACTCCATCCTTACTCTGACCTTAATTGGTTGGAGTAATCAGACCCTCCAAGAGGAGGTTGTCGTAAGGCCAATCACCTTACACGCAAAACAATATGATTACGAAACAACGATTAATATTGCCTCGGAACGTGGAGATTACGGATTTATGTATTGGAACTTGGAATGTGCGATCAATGTATAGGACTGGAACATTGACGACTGTCGTATCGTGTCTTGAGCGATACAGACTGGATATAACAGCAGTTCAAGAAATAAGGTGGGAAGGATCTGGTAGTATAAAGTCACAAGGAAATACAATTTTATATAGCGGTGGAGAAAAACACGAAAGAGGAGTAGGCTTTATTATTAAGGACAAATTTTTGCCGAATGTTGTCAAGTTTGAACCAATAAGTGATAGAATTTGCTATATAGAATTTAAATGCAAATGGTTTAACATAGTAATTGTAAATTGTTACGCGCCAACAGAGGATAAAAGCGAAGAAGTAAAGAATGCCTTTTACGATGAGCTAGACAGAGTATGTGATGGGCTATCTTCGGGGAAGCCAAAAATTATCATTGGTGACTTCAATGCGAAAGTCGGAAGAGAAAGGATATACAGACCAACTATTGGAATAAACAGTTTGCATAGTGAGTCCAATGAAAATGGAAACAAATTGATTTCATTTGCAGCAGCAAGAAACATGGTCATAAGCAGTACAATGTTTCCGCACAAAAACATCCATAAACAGACCTGGATATCACCCTGTGGAAGGATAAGAAACCAAATAGATCACATAGTTGTTGACAGGAGAATAAGATCAAACGTTGAAGATGTAAGAAGTATGAGGGGTTGTAGTGCGATATCGGATCACTTCCTGGTAAAGGCAAGGTACAAACTAAAAATTTCAGTGAATTGGCAGAAGAAACAGAGTATCAAAAAAATTAACAGAGAGCTACTAAATGGAAACCAAGCAAAGGAATATCAGGGAAAATTGAACAAATACCTTTCAAGCGCTGAACATGAAGCAAATATTATGGGGAAGAATAGAAAAAGCGGTTAAAAGAACCTCAGAAGAAGTTTTGGGTTACGAACCACAGAGAAGGAACAAACACTGGTTCAATGAAATGTGTAGAAAGACCACGGAAGAAAGGGATAAAGCGAGATTAAAAGTGCTACAGGACCCAAAAGAAGAAAATAAAAGAGAATTAGCCATGAAACAGAGAGAGGTAAAGAGGACAATTAGGATGAACAAGAGAGCATGGGAAAAAGAAAGAGTACAACTCATAGAAAGTAGTAGAAAGAATAATGCTCGAATCTTCTTTGGGAAAGCGAA